AAATAAATAAATAAATAAATAAATAAATAAATAAATAAATAAATAAATAAATAAATAAATAAATAAATAAATAAATAAAGGGGCAGGAGAACACCTTTTAAACAGAACACCTTTACAAAAGCCACAGAATCCAGCAAGCATTATTCCAGCACAGAACTCCTTGTCACAACTGTGGAGTCTAAACTGCATTTTACAGCCTGCCTGCATCAACAACCAGCAACCATTATTACAGCAAACAGATCCCCAAAGGAAAAAAAAGACTTTGGAGTCACATTTTAAACCCACACATTTTAAAACAACAGAGGGGTCACAGTACACAAACCCTAGAAGCCACATAAGTATTTTTCGTTCATATCTTGAAGCTCCGTTTGCAAGTAGAAGCAAAATTTTGTGAACAGAGCTCTTTGTAAGTTGGATTGTTTGTAGGTAGGGACGTTTGTAAGTAGAGGTTCCACTGTATACAGATATACATTTTATAGAAGGCAAAGTGACCCAATTAATTTTCCATTTAAACCAAGCCAAGCCAAACCTTCAGTTAATTAAATGCCACTTCCAAATGATATCAAATCAGTTGTTCCTTTTCAGTTACAATTTGGTTACAAAGGTTTTTCTCCTTTTCTAGGAGAAAAAATCCTTAAAATGACTGGTCATTTATTTCCTTCATGAGACTTCCTACCTCATGTGCGCACACACACTCACACACTTGGCTGCTTTGGAAAACGAACTTTCAGAAGTTTGATAGAGCATTAAGCAAATCAAGTGGGGGATGCCCATCCAGCCAATCCTCCACTCTCCAGACAGATCCTGCTCTAACATGTACTTAGTTCCCCTCCAATTAATTAATTACTTACTTACTTCATTAATAATCATTACCCACATATATAACACACAAATGAAAGGGATGCACTGTTCCCTTGGGGAGAGGCTTAAAATACCGACTGGGAGATAGAAAGTAAGGGCTGGACAACAGAGCATAAGAGTTAGGGCAGGTTGTGTGAGATGAAAGGATAGGATCTGGAGGACGTGGGAACATTTGGGATGAGCCCTACATGGAATATGTATCCTGATCCCTGGCTCCACAATCCACTGGATTATACACTGGAATGCCTGAGTTGGGCTACAATGGGTTTTAATGCTGAAAAGGAACAGCCAGGATGAAACAGATGGGTCTCTCTAGGGTTCTGCTAGAATAAGGGCAGTGTATTCAATAGGGAAATATACCCAAGTGGCTTTAGCCATGTAGTCATGCTATTGACACACAACTACATTAACAGGACCAGAAACACCAGTTTCTATGCCATTCAGTGAATGTAAGCAGGGAGGCAAATTTCCTGTGATTTCTATTTTACCTGTATGGCAAATCTTCCCACTGATACACAAATATAGATTAAAAAGACAGTTGCCACTGGCTATGTCTTTCCTCAGTTCTCACTCATTTTACAGGGATACATGCTGGAAAAGTTTTTGGTAGACTCAGACTTTGATAAGTGTTAGTAATTTCCATTTGGTATGTTTAAAAACACAAAAGATAGTTACCAGTATTGAGTGTCTTCTTGATAACAGTTGCTACCTGTCCCTTAAGTACGGAATTCAGCAGCTTGACTATGAGTATCAAGCAAGTGCAGAGAACAAGCAAGGAAAATGCAAGCAGGATGAGACCAACTGCAAGATCTGGGAGACTTGTTCCTGCAAAAATGTGTTGACCTATGGAAGGGGAATAAAGTAAATTAAATGGTTTGAAGTATTTTTGAGAATTGGTCATAACATGTTTCTCATTCCTCCCTTTTTTCTTATTTTCAAATACTACATTACCACACACTGCAAACTTTCCCCCCTAGCTGATGCTCCACATGGAAGCAATCATACCTATACCTATATGTAGCATTGCCTTTATGCACGTACTTAAATGTATAACCCTAAGCACTAGCCAGAGCTTGGAAGTGACAGTAACATCATTGCCTTTAATTGCTTAATTTTTCAGATAGTGAGTACTGTAATGACTTGTTACAAACTTAGGACAAAAGAAGTAACAAATAATTGCAGAGTTACTTCAGTGTAACAAAATGTTTTCTAGTAACCTTCAAAAGTTACTTTTAAAGCCATTTTAAGAGATATTTTGAGAGGAATGTTAACCTTTATGCCATTGCCAAGTGAACTGTTCTTTGTTTTTGTCTTCTGTATTTGTGTAAATATTTACAAAGTGTAGTAACAGAATTGGCCAGTAAAAGAAAGAAATGGTATATATTTGACATATAGTAAAACACAAGAATTACTTGCACAGAACAAAATAATGACAATGACAAGCTGACTGTCTAGAAGTAATGAATAATGCAACAAGTTCCTTTAAAAATGTTCAAGCTCTGTCACTAGTAATAGTTAAGTGTGTCATTCACTTTGTGGCTGTTTTTTAGTGAGAATTTTAAAGAATATATTATTTTTCAGAAGGAACTTGAGGTTTTAGAAGACTGAAATTGGGAGGCAGCTAACCTGATGCACCTATCCTTTCAGAGTGTTTTGGATACTTAACATTTAAAAGTCTGCAGTTGAATTCAACCTTGTTTATGGAGATCAGTTAGGATGGCCACCTTTTTTTCCCCTGACCAGCATTTCCTCTTTAACAACTACATGATAGGCAGATTAAAAAACAACAACACAATTCTGTTCACATGGGAACCATGATACCTACTGAATTTGACTGGTATAGAAAAGTCATAATATAATTTACTTCCTTTTTAAAAACAAAAATTTAATAACACTTGCAAATTTCTTTCTAAAAGGGATGGAAAGAACTTGAGGTTCATTTCATTTCAACCGAATGTGAAAGAAGGCAAAACTGTCCTATCTATCCAGGTCATGTATAGTCAGGCATGTGACCACACCCGGCCAGATCATTGCGGCAGCTTTCTCAGCTGGAGCTCTGCCTATGTACAGGAACAGGAGCCTCAGGGCGTAGCGGTTAAACTGCAGGACTACAGTCAAGACTCTGCTCACAACCTGAGAGTGATCCCAATGGCCACAGGTAGCTGGCTCAAGACTGATTCAGCCTTCTTATCCTTCTAAAATCAGTAAACCGAGTATCCAGCTAATGGGGTAAAGTGAAAGCTGATGGGGTGGTACATAAGCAGCACACTTTGCTTTGCTTTGAATAGGATACAGACTTTTGCTTCATGTAATATCTATGAGTATACGAAGATTTAGAGAGAGAAAAATCACAGGATTTTTCTTCCAGGCTGTGAAGGAACGTACTGTTGTGCCCAAACTTTGTTTTACTCAGTTGCTTTCATAGCGTGGAATCTACTTAATCAGAATAATAATACCTTCACAATACCAGAAGCTGCTTTTTTTTCTCCTTACATTTTTTAATATATGCTGTGTTGGAAATATTTTTCGTGGTCCAGGTCATGTTTCCAATTGTCCAGCAAAGGTCAGAAGAAGTACAGTTTTCAGGTGACGGGACAGTTGTATTCAGTGCAGTCTAGGCATTGACAAATAGAACAGCCCAATGAAATCAATACTTTTTGGTCATTATGATATAGTGTAGCTCTTTATCACTTGAAAAACAATTTAACAACGAAACAATAAACTGCCAGTACATGGGCCCTCCCTCTTTCCTCCTTTCACATTCTACCTTGTTAATAGACTAATCTTCCTTTTTTCTTTCTTTCTTGCCATGTTAATAATGTGAATCATTTTGAGCCCTTCAAACTATTTTACAACTGATAAGCACTATTTCTATGCCAATCCAAACAAAGACACCAGTATTCAAAGCTGCTATTCATTGTTTTTTTTGTTAAAAATGAATCAAGGATTTTCATTTTATCTTGTAATAAGTGAATTAGATCAAATTGTTTTTCCACATACTCGGATTTCAGTTGATTTAAAGCAGGCAGGATATTTTAGTGCTAAATCTGTACTTTTCATAAGACAAAAATCTTAATTAAGCTAAATAAATATAATCCCATCTGAAAACCAGGTATCAAGAAAAATAAATAAAGTGACTATTTTATTTTATATTATTATATATAAAATATTTAATTATATAATCATATATATCAATGACATATTAATATAGTACTCACCACATTAGTTTCAGTTTTACACCAAATTTTTATTAGACTTTTGTTTCTTACTGATTCATCACCTGTAGCAATTCCACTTATCACTGATTTATCAAGCTATTAATCAAAGCAAACAAAAAAGATACATTGTTCATCATATTTTATAAGAACACATAGCTATAGTAAACTATAGTTTACTTCTACAACTCATTCCACCCTTGAAAACCTCCCAAGATGTCAGAAAAGTTAAAATGACAATACAAAACCAAGGATAAATGAAGTAAACACTTGAAAACATAAATTAAATTTAAAAACTTAAATAATATAAAAACAATTTTAAAGAAGAGTTTTGTGGGAAAGTTTTTCCTTTTTCTTTTTGCTGGGAAACTGCTGAGTTCTAGAATCTTGGAATCATCGGTTACTATTAACCATTAGTCCCTTTGCCCCTGCTTGGCAATGGTTCTCTAGGGTTTCAAGCTTCTTACCCAACCTCGCTGGAGATACCAGAAATTGAAAGTGGACCTTTCTGCATGAAGGGCATGTGCCCTCTCTCTCCTATAAATCTTTCTGTTTTATTAATCGTAACCAGTGTTTCCAAGTTTCATCACTTTGTTGTTGTTTAGTATTACCAAATAACTTCATCCAAGGCAAATTATGCACTTGTTTCCCCTATCCTGCCTGGATGGCAGCAAAGATTATCAGGGGTATGGAAAACAAATCTTAATAAGAAAATGTTGACGGATTCAGGCAGGTTTAACCTGGGGAAAAGAAGATGGAATGGACGCATTGTATTACTTCAAATACATGCAGGCCTGTCATGCAAAAGGTATCATCATCATCATCATCATCATCATCATCATCATCATCATCATCATCATCATCATCATCATCATCTCTGCAGCTACAGACAGCAATACCAGACCTAATGGCCTTAAGTTATAGGAGGATAGCTGCTGTGGAATTTAGGAGAAGCTGCTTGACGAATAGTGTGGTTTGAGAATGAAATTAATTGTTTGGAGGGATATCGGGCTTTCCCTTCTCAGAAGTCTTCAAGCAGAAGCAAATCAGCTTCTAGGTCTTCTGCAATGGGCAGGGGTTGAAACAGATTCCTACAAATCCCTTCAACTCTATGACTGTAATATGCAATAGAGATTTTATATATCTTTTTCCTGATACAAGGAATGTCATAAATCAACCTAATACATGTACAGCTAGCCCTGCACATTGTGGGTCAGCCTGTCAATATTATAAAGGCATTATCTATAGCATGTTTCTTAAAAAAAAAAAGTCCAACAAGATGTGGGAATAACAATAACTTCTACCAAGACCTTTTGCATTATAAAAATGGTAATAGTATTAGAGGACCAGGTCAGAGATTATTCCTAGGAGATGCTGTAGCAAATATTAATTAAGTGAAGGAAAAGCCTACCTGGATGATAAGTTTTGTAAAAGGATCAGTGATGACTTTCAATAATTCAGGTGCATCCTCCCCACTTTCAAGATGAAATGATTTTACAATAACTTCTGTAAGGTGGAAAAGATAGCCTGAGGCAACTTCAATGGGCAGCAGGACAAACACTGAAAGCCAGTTAAAGAAATCATGGACGGTAGCTCCAGCAAAAGCCCTGCAGGAAAAAACCAAGATAAACCAAAAGGGTAAGCCCACATAGGTTCACTAGGAGGGTAAATTAAAATGATTTTAATAGGAAGAAGCCAACTCCTTACGTATTTCAAGCTGGTGCATTCTTTACCAAAATACATTAAAAACAGCCATTTTCAACCTTTATACATGTACAGCCAGCCCTGTACATTATGGGTCAGCCTGTCAATATTATAAAGGTATAGCATGTTTCTTTAAAAAAAAAAAAAAAAGGTTCAACAAGATGTGGGAATAACAATAACTTCTACCAAGACCTTTTGCATTATAAAAATGGCAATAGTATTAGAGGACCAGGTCAGAGATTATTCCTAGGAGATGCTGTAGCAAATATTAATTAAGTGAAGGAAAAGCCTACCTGGATGATAAGTTTTGTAAAAGGATCAGTGATGACTTTCAATAATTCAGGTGCATCCTCCCCACTTTCAAGATGAAATGATTTTACAATAACTTCTGTAAGATGGAAAAGATAGCCTGAGGCAACTTCAATGGGCAGCAGGACAAACACTGAAAGCCAGTTAAAGAAATCATGGACTGTAGCTCCAGCAAAAGCCCTGCAGGAAAAAAACAAAGATAAACCAGAAGGGTAAGCCCACATAAGTTCACTAGGAGGATAAATTAAAATGATTTTAATAGGAAGAAGCCAACTCCTTACGTATTTCAAGCTGGTGCATTCTTTACCAAAATACATTAAAAACAGCCATTTTCAACCGGGGGCCACATGGTCCCAGATGGGGTGGGGGTGAAGGAGCCACAAATTGGAAACAATTCTTCACACAACTCCTTACAAGGTTCCATATGCAATGTATGCAATTCTGATTTGGCCTATATTTCTTTCACTTTGTGTTTATGGTCGGGGGGCCGTATGGTCCCAGATGGGGTGGGGCTGAAGGAGCCACAAATTGGAAACAATATTTCTTTCACTTTGTGTTTATGGTCGTGGCCAGAAAAAAAAGGCTGAGAATGGCTGATTAAAAAACATTAAGAAATGGAAAGATTCTTGCTCCAGTGCTTAGACTTCTTACTGCTGAAAAATCTCCTTTCCCTAGGCAATAAAAAAAAATCCCAGACATAATGCAACACATGGTTAAGTGAGACAATACATTTAGCCCATTTTTAGGAGTGGTATTCGTTCCAGTGATGAAATACATGAATTTGTCATCAGCTATATATCCCCTGGACTGCAAGGAGAACAAACCTATCAGTTCTAAAGGAAATCAACCCTGAGTGCTCACTGGAAGGACAGATCTTGAAGCTGAGGCTCCAGTACTTTGGCCATCTCATGAGAAGAGAAGACTCCTTAGAAAAAAACTTGATGTTAGGAAGGTGTGACGGCAAGAGGAGAAGGGGCCGACAGAGGATGAGATGGCTGGACAGTGTCTGCGAAGCTACCAACATGAATTTGACACAACTCTGGGAGGCAGTGGAAGATAGGAGGGCCTGGAGCGCTCTGGTCCATGGGGTGGTATTCCTTCCAGTGATGAAAAACGACTAAACACACACACATATATATCTTGCATTTAGCGTGTTTTGTGATTGACACTGGAAGGGAAATGTGGGCTTCATTTACAAGTCTGATTTATGAGGCCCATATTTCTAAGAAAATCTCATTGTGGGAAAGAAAACATAATAATAGGGTGTATGCATGTCCCTTCATGGCTACTTTGGCTCTTGGTTTTGGCTGAACTGAACAGAGACAACTGTGTAGTGAGGTACTATCTGCTATGACATCTGTATGCAAAGGATCAGACATTCCCACCAAATGGCAGATCTACTGTCCTTGCATTAAACCTAGAAAGAAGCTCTGCACCCTTGGGGTGTTTTCAGCAAACACACTGCTGTCTATTTTTTTACATCTATTTTCTTCCAGACCAAAACACCCAGGCAAAAGTGTGAGAAAACAGACACATCAGTCACCTGGTCCCTTTTCCAACACGATGAAGTTGGGTTTATATTTAAATTACAACAATTATTTTTAAATATCCCTTGACAAATAGAAATAGGAAAAGAAGTGCAGAAAGGAGGTGAACGTACTGGCTCAGAACCCATGGGGACTGGTTTGGATGTGGCACAGCATAATTGTTTAGAGCTGCCACATCCCAAATCAGTAGCACCTCAGTGACATCCAACCTCTACTAGGAGAAGAACAAGGACAAGAGAGATATAACTTAGCGCATGCAATTTCAATGCACATATCACCCTCATTTGTTCTCTTCTTTGCTGGTGTTTTCTCTGTTTTAGAGATACAGTACAGTACTTAGGATATGAGCATGCATATGCATGAATATATACAGTAGACATGTGCAAAAACAAAACAAAACAAAAACAACCCCAAGCCAAAATCCTCTACAGAGTGGAAAGCAATTGTGGTATCTTGGCCAGCTCCAGCAGCTTGTGGCAATCTTGCACTAGTGGCAAGACTGGTCGCACAGCCGGTCATGTAACTGGTGATATGACAAGTCTCTGCCAGAGAAGGGAGAATTGTCTTCCTCTCTGTATATAATATTGGCCATTTTTCTTCAATAAATAGTTTAAATGTTGCTCTCTCAAACACCCAGGTTCCTTGTTGAGGAAACAAACTTCCACTTATTAAATCAAAAACATTATTAAAGATTATTCCTAAGTCAAGCATGAAACAGTTTAAACATCTCTATAAGTAACTAAATAATTAAAGAGACAAAATTTTAGTAATGCTAGTGAGGATGTCTGGAAGTCCTGCTACTTATGTCTGTTAAATTATCGTCTGTTGATATTTTTCCATTTGATTCTTTTTTTTACATACAATTATGGAGCAGCTAGACAGGTATTTATTTTGCTGTTTGTGCTGTTTTTCTTATAGTATTAACTCCATCAATTACACAGCGTTAGCATTAAATGCAAATAGATCTGATCTTTTGGCATGAATATATAGTATATTTTATTCAGCAGGCAGGGCTTGTGTCGTCCCGTTCCCCTCCCCCCCCCATTTTCCCGCCTTTTTTTTTTTTT